TGTCTCAACAATCACTGCCTTACTTCTTTTTAAGGGCATCAATGGAAACGACGGCCCATCTGGTCTACCAGGTATCCCAGGATGCAACGGGACTAAAGTGAGGCCTTTTGATTGTTCATTGGGGTTTTTTTCGTTTGTTTGTTTGTTTTTACCAGCCATTCTATCATTTTTAGTCAACATAATTAATGACCATCGCAGCTGTTTTGTGTCTTGGAAACTGTTTTATCCCATCTGACTGAAGTGTGCGTACATTTTTAGGGAGATAGAGGAAAAGATGGAGCTGCTGGTTTTCCTGGTCTTCAAGGACCTCCTGTAAGTACAGACAGACAACAATATTGTAATGAGTGGTGATTTTACAATTGTTAAATGTGGATAACTTTTCAAAGGTCTGTAATCTGAGAATCAACAACAAGAGTAACAGAGTCTAAAAATAGAGTGACCATTAATAAATGTTGTCTTTACCTCTGTGGAGAATGCTACTGCTATAAGAAAACTGTCTTCTGTCTTCAAAGAGGTTCAGAATGTGTAGGATGTATGACAGTGACATTTACTACAGAAATAGACAGACCTGTGTTATATTTATTTATTTTTCTAACTCCATTTTGTTGTTTGACCGTCACAGGGTATCCCAGGAATTAATGGAATGAAGGTATGAAGGGGTCACATACAAACACTTTTTATTCTCACTTTTTTTCTCTCAGACCTATACGATGGCCATTTGAGACGCTCTGACTTCAGCGAGCCCTATGTTGATTTTATTTACTGTTTTTTACAGGGTGACCCTGGTGGTGTTATTGGTATCATTCCTTTAAAAGGAGACAGAGGATTCCCTGGCTCACCTGGATTTCCTGTACGTTAACTCCTCCTACAATTACTGCATACCAAATCATAAGCGTGGAACTACAGGGTCTATCTGCTCAAACATATTTTCTTGCAGGGAGGAACCGGACCTGTAGGACCTGTCGGCCCTCAAGGTCCCCGTGGTTATCCAGGGCCTAAAGTGAGTTTTGATTTTTACTTTTGCAGACTTTGTGTTTATACTGTTCTTTGTCCATTTTTGTAATATTTACAATTTTTAATCAATCTGGGCTAACTGCTTGCTATGTTCATCAATAATATCTGGTGAATATTAGATATGAAATAGCTAAGCTGAGGAAAGCTTAAATACATTTTTATATATTGGTAACATTTTGGTTTAGATGACACCTATTTTGTTGAAATTCAAACTACTGTCTTGACAACTACTTAACAAAAATAACTTTTAAATGTGACATTTTTAAAGTAGTACAATTGAACCATAGAGTTACACCATCTCTAAATTATGTGTAAGGAATAAGCAAATACTTGAAAATACATCTGAACAAAATAAAATCTACCTAGATATTTTCTGATGCAATAGGTCAAATTTAATTGCGTCTAACAACCCAGTGCCGTTGCTTGCTCTCATTTGGTAAATACTGCACTTGTACCAGCTGTGATGTGACTGATGTGGTAACTGTGTTTGACAGGGTGACCCTGGTCCTCCTGGACTTCCTGGAGAGGAGGTGACTTATTCTGCTTTATTTACACTACTTATACTACTGATAACACAGGTAGAACAATAGTTTAACCAATTTCTCACTTTCCTGCAGGGGGACAAGTTGTCTTTTGAGAGTGAAAAGGGAGAAAAGGTGAGAATGTTCAGAAATATGTCAGAAATATTATCTGATGGGAACATTTCTACCCTTCATGTAACAGTTGAATGTAAAATGACATAATAATAATAATTATTATCACAAAGTTTTAAAATATTATAATACAATATGTTTATTTACCTGTGTCTTTTCATTGCTATTTCTTTGCAGGGTGACGCAGGATTTCGAGGCCCACCTGGTCCTCCAGGACCGTCACTGGGAGTCGATGGAAGTACAACACTGTTTGTACCTGGACGACCGGTACTGCCTCACTTCATTATTAACAAAATAATATTCTGCACATTTCAATTAAATCCCAGCTTTGCTGTGTCTCTTTCCTTATTTTGTGTTTTTTTTTCTCTGTAGGGAGACAGAGGACTCACAGGAGATAAAGGAGAGAAAGTTAGTTTCATTATTATTGAGATCACACACTTAGAACAGCATCACTTTCAAAGCAGAAAGTGATAGAAATAGGAATCAACATGCTGTACTTATCTTTTTCACAGGGCTATTGCATTTCTCATTTAAACGGTATTAAAGGTGAAATTGGTCAGCCTGGCCAAAGGGTAAGAAATAATATATGTGTGTCTACTGAAATTGATTTCTGCCCAATTATAATGTATTATTGTCAAATGATGGATACAAAACTGTTCATTTATAGGGTAAACCAGGCAAAGATGGAGATGCTGGACCAAAAGTAACAAAAACCTCCTAATTATCTCTTTAATTTGTGGTTGTTGGGGTTTTTTTTTTCAAATATTTGAATCAATAATCATTAATTGCACCCATCCAACAGGGAGATAAAGGTTTTCCAGGTGCTCCAGGATATCCAGGTCTTACGGTAAATAACCAATCTTTTTAAAATTTGCAAAAAGAAAATTGAAATAAATGGTTTGTAAACTGTGTAAAACGTGTTTTGTATTTTTGTTCAGGGTGAAAAAGGAGAGAGAGGACCACCAGGTTACGTAAGTCATCTCACCTCCTTTGTCTTTGTAAAATATTCCATTTTACTGTCTTAAAGCAAATAAGGAGAACTACCAGCAGATGGTGCCACAAACATGTATTATGTATTTTAGGAACATAGGATGGAAATGAAAAACGTATAGATGTTTTTATAAGTGCACGCTTATCTAAAAGCTGTTGTTTCTAGGGTACTTAAAACGAGTAGTTTTAAATATTTTTGCTCTTCAACTGATAAAAAATATTGAGTCTATCTCCTCAGTAGAGGTCACCATTTTGAAGTAAATAACTTATTTAACTTAATAACATATTTATCGATTACTGTCAGCAGATATATTTACCTCTATTCTATAATAAATTGACTGAAATTTACACATTGTAGGTGTGCATATATATATTTTCTAAATATATATTTTTGGGTAATAATATAGATGCATTTAAACAAAGCCCTTAAGTAGTGTAAAGTAGTTTTTGTTTTATTATTTTAAGAAAAGGTTTTGGCTGATTCTATTGTAGTTTATCCCCAAATATGGCATATTTTAGCACATATGTTTTTGAATATCTTTGAGTGAAAAGTAATTAATTTCTTGATGTTTTCGAGGTTCACTGGATTATAAAATGGTCTGTAAAGTAGTCCATGCATTTGAATAAAACATTCAAACAATCAAGTTACCTGTATAAATACTATCACACAACAATTCAGATGAGTTCCATCACTCTTTTAGACCAAGAGAAAGGCTAATAAGAACTTATTGTGTTGTTGCTGTTATGCTGATATTGTGAATGTCATCGGATCAGTGGTTAAACGTTCGTGAACAACATCTTTCTGCAGTGATGTCAAACCTGACTTTGGGTGTGTTAGTATACATGATGCCAACATTCCTCAATAATCCTGGGTGTGGTCACAAAAAATCTTCAGAACTGTAAAAACATCAGTATATTAAGTGACAAATGGAAGTACATAACTATCAAGAGCATTTTTAGATTTACTCTCAAGTTTTTGCAACAAGCGAAAAAGAAAAAAAGGAAGAATTGTAATGGCAATGTAAATATATGATACATGATCTTATTCATGAAATCTTTGAACATTTGATTTTTAGGGCACTGGTGCCGTTGGTTCACCTGGTCCTCCCGGTCGTCAAGGGTTACAAGGAGAAAAAGGTGAACCTATGTTTTTTTACTGGGCATCTTAATGGCCCACCATGAGGAGGATACATAGTTGTTGGGTATATGAAGAATGTTTTGAATTATTTCCATTGGATGTTTTTTTAATTATTTTTCTATATTTCTGGATTTCCACAGTATTCCTCAGATTACCAATTAGTTTTTTTTTTTTTTTTTGCAAATTGCATCCACCTTACTTAGATTTTGGTCAACTTATTTGTCTTTGCTCCAGTTAATTATGACTAATTTTGGCCAACGATTGCATGGCTAATATTTTATTTTCCTTTTACTTTTAGCCTTTTTCAAAGCCTGGGCATTAACTAAAAACTCTCAGAGACCCGTGGCTTATTTTCTTTTAGTTTCTGTTTGCTTCCTTATTCTTCATATTTATATCAGTAACATCTTAGGTACTAGAGTAAAAACTTTTTAGGAAGTCAAAATAGTTTGGATATGTATCCTAAATCAGTACCAACAACATCTTTGTTTTTTTTGTTTATCTTAATTTGTAGGTTTTCCAGGGCCTACGGGAGAAACAGGTCCACCAGGTAACCCCCCCCCCCCCACCCTCCTGCCCTCTGGATAACAGTAACATTAAGATCCATGTCCAAGTTAAACACTCGCAAAAAACTATTACCTTTGCACGTGCATTTCAGGACTAAACTTGGAAGGGCCCCGAGGAGAGAAGGGTTTGAAGGGAGAACCTGGGGTTAAAGGAGACATGGGTGTAGAAGGAGCCTCACTGGCAGGACCTCCCGGACAACCAGGAGTTACTGGACCTCCTGGCCCACCAGGACTCCCAAGTATGTCTCCTCCTCACAATTGTCTTTTTTAAATATTAAAAAAAAGAAAAAGAAAACTTCACTATGCCGTTTTTAACAAACCCAATCTGCATGTTTTTGTGATGTTATATCCTCACAGTTGACAAAGAATGTGACATTGAGAAAGGGGCTCCTGGCCCACCTGGACCTCCTGGGTTACAAGGAGAAGTGGGACAGAAAGGTACGAGCAACTTTTCATTGACTAATAAAACATTCACCCGAGTCATGCATACATAACAAGTCCTGACAGACATCGTAAAATATAGTTAAATTGTTCTAAATGTCTTGTCAGGTGACCAAGGAGATACATGCGTTCAGTGTGAAGCTTTTGGCCCACCTGGATTACCCGGGGCTGCGGGGGAAAAGGGCGAGCTCGGTATGTTAAATGTGATACTTACTTTTATAGTAAATATATGAGTTCGGGACGTCCATTCTAATGCCTGACCTCTCACTGCAGGACCTCCTGGGTTGGTTGGAGGGAAGGGAGAAAAGGGTGACCCTGGGTCTCCTGGACAATCTGGACTACCTGTGAGTAATACAGTGAAATAAATAATCCAGAGTGAGAAAATACAAGTTGACATGTATTATTTTTATCCTTATAGGGCAACCCAGGCATACCTGGGTTGGTGGGAGCTCCTGGTGCTGTTGGTGAACCTGGTGACATTTTTGTCGCACCTGGTCTAAAGGGAGACGCAGGTCTACCTGGTCTTGATGGATCTCCAGGATTGCCAGGATTGGATGGGCTGCCAGGAAGAGATGGCTTTCCAGGTGCACCTGGAATTAAAGGAGAACCTGTGAGTTTGATGATACCCTCATAGGATAAAGCAGGCGTGAGACAAAATATGTGTGCAAACGAAAGTGATGCAGATGAAGAGATAAGCCTGCAGGGAGTACAGGAAGTAAGATATGTTATAAAGTATAAATTCTTTTTCAGGCCAAAGAAGGCATTAAAGGTGAGAGAGGACCTGACGGTGACCCTGGTCTTATTGGTGTCCCAGGAGAGAGAGGACCCCCTGGGGTGCCGGGCGTCGGCCAACCAGGACAGCCTGGGGATAAGGGTAACCCAGGAAGACCAGGAAGCCCTGGAGAGCCTGGAATTCCAGGTAAGAATGAGATATTTATAGAAAAATTAAAATGAAAAACATTTGTTGAATAACAATTGTTTTTATTTACAGAGAACTGTAAGATGTAGTTGTTAGTAGTTGTCGTTTGTCATAGTTTTACCTCATAAACAATCCAGGCTACATTATGTAACATACACTGGAACTATATATTTAGATATGGTATATTCAACACAGTAAATATATAATATTAAATATTAAATTACAAAGTTAAATATAAATTAAATGTTTTTTTGTTCTATAGGTGTTAAAGGTGAGCCAGGTGTAGGTATGAGTTCTCCAGGACCCCAGGGTATTCCAGGACCAAGGGGAGAAACTGGCAGACCTGGGTTTCCAGGTAAAAACCACTTTTGTCATTGAATTTCTTTTTTCAAATGTGTCTATGACCAATAGGTGAACACTTTGTCATTGATCAAACCTACAAGAATTGTGTTTTTGTTTACAGGTGACAGGGGCTTGCCTGGAGAATCTGGGTTGCCAGGTTTTCCTGGACAGAAGGGTGAACCAGGTGCATCAGGAATTGGCTTTCCTGGGCCAACTGGTCCAAAAGGTATGGTCTCCATAAAGTTCTTTGGTGTATTTCTTCAGAAAATGTTACTGGGAATTCCATGTACATTACACAGAGGCCTGGAATTAGCTTTAAGCAATTATTTTGTCATTTCTCTGAAGGTACCAGTGGAATTCCAGGAGCTCCAGGATTACCAGGAGAGCCTGGAAAACAAGGGCAAGATGGAAATGCAGGACAGCCAGGTTCACCTGGACAGAAAGTGAGTATTTGATCAGCTTACGGAAAAGTGAAATTTTGTGTTTCACATAGTTTGAACTACATAATCCTCATGTATAATCAGACAAAACGACTTAAGAGAAAGTAACATAAATGAAAAACCAGTAAAGAACAGGTACAAGGTACTGGAATCCTAATGAAATGTCTTTACAGGGTGAACCGGGACGCGGGCTTCCAGGTCCTAAAGGTTTGCAAGGTGTTCCTGGACTCCCTGGTTTCCAGGGGGACAGGGGTGAAACAGGA